GAGAGAGAGAGAGAAAGAGAGGTCTGGGAAAGCCCGGGTCCCTCACCTAAGCTGTCAGACGTTACCCAGCCTTCTCACAGCAAAGAACTCAATCAAGATGAAGCACACCAGCTGACAGCATTCAAATGGGTTATTGCATCAGAGTCTCTCCGCGGCCTTGTGGAGGAGTTTGAGAGAGAAATACAGGAATGTCTGGAGGAAACGGCAAGCTCTCATTTTCATTGTCTGTTTCTTCCTCTCAGTCCGGTGCTTTCTCATGGTTCCTCGAGCTTCTGTGAGAATGCGGCAGGAGTATCTCTCTCGCTTTCCATCATTCACCCCCACCTGTCTTTTTTTGTCACTGTAATAATGCTGTTTTTCGACAGCAGTGCCATTAAACGCCATTTTCTCCCAGACACACACAGAGCTGCGGTGTTTTAGCTGTTGTGCTGTGAAAGCCTGTCCTACAAAAATGTAGGGGAGCGTATATACAGTATGTTGCTGTAAGTTTTTAGACTCAAAAACATTAACAGTGTCACATGATCCTTAAGAAATCATTCTAATATGCTGATTTGCTGCTAAAGAAACATTTATTATTATTATCAGTGTTGAAAACTGTTTGCTTTGAATAGAAATCTCTCTTTTGTGACATTATAAATGTCTTTAATGTCACTTCTGATTCATTTAATGTGCCCTTGCTGAATAAAAGTATTCATTTCTAATAATTTTCTTAAAAAAAAATCCCAAACTTTTGAACAGTAGTGTATGTGCTGCTTAGATAACGCTGCTATTGGGAAAAATGCTATAGAGATGAAGCACTACTGTTATTCTTAGTGCTTTAGGGAAATTATCCAAGGTATAACTTTCTCTCTTTGAACTACGTTAACATTAGCATTCAAAGTAGGACGTTTAAGGCTCCTGTATATAGTATTCACCAGAGAAGACATTTTAACCCTTGCATAGTCAAAGAATCCACTGCCATTTGCCACAGCTGTGGCTTCTGCCCATGTGACCATATAAAACAGGAAACGGCACACACATACTCACCATGCCTACTCGACCGTGAAAGTCCAGACATTTCCCCCGTCTCAAGAGAAATGCTATTAAAGACATTTACATAATCACTTCCTGTTTGATTCAGGAATCCAGAGTGAGAGCGTGTTCAACCCCCAGTCGAATCCTAGAGCTCACGCTTTATCATCTACAATTAAATTCTCAGCAGCCTTTGAGTGGTGACTGTAATTTGCAAAGGCAGAGAAGATGTAGAAGTGATCGTATCACAGGGCCACTCAATAGTGAACTGCACAGGGGCCAAAGAGCAGGATCCCTTTAGCCTCAAATGCCACATTCGTAATGTTTTATTTAATTAATTTTATATTAATGAAGCAAATGAGCTATGTGGTATGGGGTATGACATATAAAAATTTTTTATATCAAGTCAAGTTAATTTTATATTAAAGTCAAGTTAAATTTATATGACAATGCACATTACTTCAAAGCACTTTTACAGAAAATCATGATGTTAATGTTTATAATATCTTAATATCTACTGCACAGGGGCCAAAGAGCAGGATCCCTTTAGCCTCAAATGCCACGTTCGTAATGTTTTATTTAATGAATTTTATATTAATGAAGCAAATGAGCTGTGTGGTATGGGGTATGACATATAAAAAAATTTAATATCAAGTCAAGTTAATTTTATATTAAAGTCAAGTTAAATTTATATGACAATGCACATTGCTTCAAAGCACTTTTACAGAAAATCATGATGTTAATGTTTATAATATCTTAATATCTTCATACCTTAAAGTCTTAAAGTCTGCAAAAAAAATAATAATAATAAATATTGAGAAAATCGCATTTAAAGTTGTCCTAATGAAGTTCTTAGAAATGCATATTACTAATCAAAAATTAAGTTTTGATATATTTACGGTAGGAATTTTACAAAATGTCCCATACAATGTATTCTTGGCTATTGCTACAAATAGACCCGTGGTACTTATGACTGGTTTTGTGGTCCAGGGTCACATGTAGTTACATTTTGTGATAAAAATAAAAATGATGCAATTGAGATTTACTATATAGGATATATCACAGTAACAGTACATATCATGGCATACACGGTATATACATTTTTTAAGGTGTCCTTGTTACAGTGTATTTATACATTTAAGTACTGAGTAATATTAATTAACTACATGTACTTACTATATGGTTAGGGTTTGGCTTAGGGTTACTTACATGTAATTATGCATAATTTATTGTTATTATAATAGTAAGTACATTTAACGTGTAACAAGGACACCTTAAAATAGTGTTACCAATTCTTTCTTTTTTTTATATATATATATCTATATATTTTATTCACTTAAATATTTTGGAAATGTATTGATGTACACTAAAATAAAACCTGGAAAACCCACTGAAGTGAATACAATAGAGCAGAATGCAGAGCACTGTGTGTGTGTGTGTGTGTGTGTGTTTGTGTGTGTGTGTGTGTGTGTTTG